TTTCTTTAGCTCTTTTGCTTTATGCATGTTCTTTCTGATGTTTAGAGGCCAGGCCGATGTCCTCTTGGTCACTGTCTTTGACAGCAGCAGGAGCATTTGTCATTGTCCCCACAAGGCCCAGGGTGTCCCCTGCACACAGGAGTTTGGTGAGGTGGATTTCTGATCTTTGGCCTCATTTAGCACTTTTTTCTGGATTATTCTTTCCATCTCTTCCAACAAAATCCTGGTATTACTGGAGAGGAGGGTTTGATAATTTCCTGATGGATTTAGATAAGTTCCTGATAGATTTCTGTTTTTCTCTACAGCTTCTCCCTATAGCCCTGCCCTTAAATGTAGTAACCCCAGTGCTGGTGCTAATTGAGACCCATTAGTTGATGGAGTCAGTTACCTTCATAGTTGACCAAAAAATAGGACCCATAAGCCTAGGAACCCGGACCTCCCTGGTGGCCCAGGGGTTAAGACTCAGTGCTATCACCTCTACACCCTGAGTTCAATCCCCAGCCAGGGAGCTACCCACATATGGCACAACAGACCTCTCCTGTTTCCCTTGCCGCTCCCCTTAGCAGTGTATTTCAGTAAATCCACCTGTTCCGCTCCCCCACTCTGTCTCTGGTGAATCCTCTCACCAACCCCAACATCATACTCTGACCTATACCCTAGTTCTTCTACGCAAAAATAAATAAATCTTAAGCAAAAACCTACGAACCTCTTTTCAAAAAAATACACCTGTGTAATGTGCCACATTAGTAAAGACACTGTCTGTAGAACAGGGAGGTGCTGTGCACTTATGACACAACTGATAACTGTTGCACTGGATGTGTGACTGTTTATGCAACTAGGAAACCTCAGTGAACTAAAAACATGCACAACTTGGGCATCCCTGGTGGCTCAGGTGGTTGAGCACAGCGCCGTGAAACTCTCCCCAGCCTCTGCAGTGCTGGTTCAATCCTGGCCGGCTGGGGAGATGCCCACATCGCGCGGCAGACCCCTCCTGTCTCACCCGCTGCTCCCCTCAGCAGTGCATTTCTGTCGGTATGCCTGTTCTGTTCCCCACTCTGTCTCTGGTGAATCCTCTCACCCACCTGTGCATCTGGCCTATGCCCCTGTTCTTGTATAAATGGATGAATCTAAAAAAAAAAATAAAAAAAAATAAAACCATGCACAACATGTCCTAGTAGGGAGGGGAGACTGGGGACAGTGTGACAGTAAATCAGACAGAAAAACATGTGTTTCTGGTTAGAAGTGGGGAGTGGGGAAGGGATGGGGAAGGTGACCCAGAGTCAGTGTGTGGGGACAGGATGGTTTTCTTCCCAGCACGGTCAGTGTGGGTCTCACTGAAGTGACCTTTGAGAAAAAGTCTGATGGACACGTTGCCCACAGGGATGTGATGTGCAGGGAAGTTCAGTCCAGGCAGGACAACCTCCAGGGCAGATGCCCGAGCAGGAATGTGTCTGTGTGGCTGACATGAGCAAGGAGGCCAAGGGCTGAGCAGAGGCCAACCGAGATGTGTGCACCCAGATTGTTCAGCCTGAGGATGTTGGGAGGGTTTCACTCTGAGTAAGGTGTGGGGTGACAAGACCTTCTGAGCAGATACACACTTGTGGGACTTTTCTCTGGTAGCTCAGTCTGGCTGCTGTGCAGCATGGAAGGGTGAGGGGTGGAAAGAGAAATGGGGGAAACCAGTGCGCGTCCCAGGACAGAGAGGTTGGTGGCTTCATTGGGGGTGAGCAGGGAAATAATAGGCAGTGACAGGACTGTGCATATGTAGACATGGACTTTACAGTGTTTCCTACTGCTGGGCTGTGAGAAAGGGGTCAAGGATGACATTCAGTGTTTCAGACTGTGCAGGCAGAGAGGCGGAGCCTCAGTGACATGGGGAGACCCCAGAAGAGCCATTTGTGGGCATCCCAGGCATTCAATTTAGGAAAGGTGAGTCAGATCCATTAGAATTGAAAGTGATGTTGGCAATTGGACAGACAGGTCTGGGGCACAGGTGAAATGTCTGAAGGAAGAAATAAGTCTGGGAGGTGATGTGATGTCAATGATACTACAGTCTTGAGCATGTAAAGGTCACCCAGAAAGTGATGACTCAGCAAGAGAAAGGGGCAGAATTTAACTCTACATTCCACAGTGATGAGCAATTCAAGCAGACATCCCCCAGAGATGACTGCACATGGAGACCAGGGACCCCACACTTCAGTGAGCACAGGAGTCACCTGGATACTCAAGAAGATTTAGAAGGTCTAGAACAAAGCCTGAGCTTCTGGTATTTGGGCCCTTCCCTCACCCTAAGGATGGAGAATTTAGGACTGATTCTCTGGAAGAGGAACTTTCATCCCTGGAAGCAGGAACAAGTAACAGGGACTCTGGAGTCCAAGTTCCCATCCAAAGAGATTGAGGGAAACTGTATAATTTGGGGACCCAGAACTGGGGGAGCAACTGTTATGACCTAGACACCGGCTCTTCCGTGAGGCCTGTACCCAGAGTTACTCAGTAGGGGGGAAATCTGAGGACCCCTAACCTGACAGTGGACCTGTCCTGCCGCTGGGAGCCCAGGGAGCCTGGGGAGGGCCTGGCTGAGCAGGAGAAAGGGCAGCTCTGGGCGCCTGCGCTCAGCCCTTTGGCCACACGGGGGCGCTGCCGCGCAGTTCCGGATTCTGGTGGAGCCGCCAGGACGGGGCTGGGGCTGAGGTGGGCAGAGTTGGGGGTCCTGGAGGGCGATGTCCTGGGGGTGAGATGCTCTGTGAGGAGTCAGAGAAGTAGGGCTCGGAGGAGGGGAGACTTCGGAACCCCCAGTGGGTGTGAGGTTCCCATCTTTTCTCCCCAGACCCCTCTCTCCAGGCCCTTGAAAGCAATACCTGGGAAAATTGGGTAGTTCATCATTTTTCCTTCTACAACCTCTAACTTTGTTGAGGGCTATTTTTTTTTTGTTATTTTAATTTAAAATTTAATTTCCAACAACACTAAAAAAATACTGTTACATTTACAGACATGGCAGAGGTAGTAGAGTTCCTGTATAACGCATACCATTTCCAAATTGTTAACGTCTCATGGACCACAGTGCATTTGAGCAGCTAAGGAAGCAATATTGAGGCACCTTCACTAAACACTGCACTGTATTTGGATTGCATTAATTTTCCTAATGCTCTTTTCATGCCTCGAAATTCCAACCAGGACACCACATGAAGTTTCAACCACAATTCCTTAGTGCCTCTGGCTGACAGTTTCTCAAACTTTCCTCTTCTGATGACACTGTGAGCAGAGCTGCTCAGGCACAATGGCCTCCATTGGAGGCCATTCTCCATCAGCACATCAAGTGTACAAATATCCACTTTTATTTTTCCTTTCTTTAGTTATTGTTGTCTTCGGAAGGAAGTCACTATGGGCAGCTCACAATTAGTGGGGGTTCTGCTATAAACATTTACTTCCATGAAGGGTTTTTTGGTTTAGTTTCCTTGTTTGTCGTTTTGCAAATACAAGTTTTCAGATTAGTTGGGTAAACAGCAGGGACAGTGCTCACTGAACTGTATGGTTGTTCTGTGTCTGACTTTAACCTGTGATTTTTTTTAAAGATTTATTTATTTATTTATACAAGCACTGGGTATAATCAGAAGTGCGGGAGGGTGAGAAAATTCACCAGAGCCAGAGTGGGGAGCAGAACAGGCAGAAGGACCAAAGTACACTGCTGAGGGGAGCAGCGGGCACGGCAGGAGAGGTCTGTGCGCCATGTGGGACTCTCGCTGGTGGCCGGGGATTGAACCGCTGCTGCACAGGCTGCGGGCAGCTTCACAGCCCAGCACTCAACCGCTGCGCCACCAGGGGAGACCCTAACCTGTGATTTTGAGCATCACAGTTATTTGGCATCTGTGTCCTTCATTGGTGAAGGCTTTTGTCCATTGTTTGCATTGGATCATTTCTTTTCTTGTTGTTGAGTTGTAGGACTTCTTTTCAATATCAATTCTAGATACAAGTGCTTTATCAGATACATGATCTAATTTGCAATCATTTCTCCCACTCTGTGTCTTACACTCTTGCACTTATACAATTGTATACATTAGTGACTAGATACAGGCATAGATATATTTTTCTGGAAAGAAATGATAAATTGCTAAAGAGAATGATAAATTACATTCCACTCCTTGGGATTTATCAAAAGAATGCAAAATTTCAAGGGATATGTGTACTCTTGTGTTCATTGCAACAATATTTACAATAGCCAAATTATGGAAACAATCCATGGGCATAAAAAAAAAAATAGATGGCACCTCCCTGGTGGTGCAAGGGTTTAAGACGCAGCCTATGAAGCTGTTCGCAACCACTGCAGCACGAGTTCTATCCCCTCGTGGGTAAATGTCCACCCAAATGGGATTGGCCCAGAGCAAGGCCTGAAAACCTGCCCCAAGTCTAAAACACCTTCCGCGGGGAGCCACAGGAAAGGACCAGAAACAGCCAAACAAGTCTGGGGGGAAAAGAGCAAAATTTCAAAATCAAGATGAAAGCTGCCACTGTCACCTCCCCACAGGTCTCTCATCCACATCTATGTCACCCAGTCCACGACCAAAAAGCAACTGCAGTTTCTTCACATGTCTCTTGGCTCCACATGCCTCTTCCAAGTCTCCTTCTGGCTCCATCCTGCTTCCTTCCTTCCTCAGTCTCCTTTCTAGCTTCTTCTCTCCCTGCTCAGCTCCTCCCTCCCTTGGGTCGGGCAGGGAACCTGGAACTTTCCGTTTTCTTGGGGACCACCCTGTTACTCTGGATAACTCATACAGAAATACCTTTTAATTGGTTTAATTTTTTTAGGTGAGATGATATTAAATTTTAGTTTTCTTATAATAAGAAGCAAAAAGTAAACCTGAAAGCTCAATGATTTTAGAGAAGGTGATTTTAATTATTTAACAAATTCTCATTGTTAAACTTAGTAAAACTTTAGTTTTATATGAAATTTGGCCACCATTTAAATAATGACAAAAGAACAAATTTAAGAGAGAGATACCAATTGTAGCTGCTAGTTTTTCTTAGGATTGGAATTTTAAATTAATTCCAGAGTTGATAATTGTAATAATCCCATAAACCAAGTTTCTTTCTTAGGCAAGCGCTAATGATGAAAAACAAGAAAAATCAAAAATGCAAACTTACCCTTTTTGATGTAGACTTGGTCAATTATTCTTTTTTCTGAATACTGTGCACTTCTTTTTGAAAACAAAGACACTGAAACATAAGGCATTGATACCCAATATTAGAACCATAAGCCATGCATGTTTCAAATTCAACCATTAAGTTGTTTTTTTTTTTAATTTATTTATTTATACAAGCACTGGGTACAGTCTGAAGCACGGGAGGATGAGAGAACACACCAGAGCCAAAGCTGGGAGCAGAACAGGCAGACCAACGAAATATACTGCTGAGGGGAGCAGCGGGTGCGGCACGAGAGTTCTGCACACCATGTGGGATCCTTGTTGGCAGCCTGGGATCGAACCGGCGCTGCAGAGGCTGCAGGTAGCCTCATAGCCCAGCGCTTAACCACCGCGCCACCAGGGGAGACCCTCAACCATTAAGTTTTGAATTAGTTTTTGATTACCAAAATTTTAGATTGTGATCTCAAAATTGGGGACTTTTTATTAGAATTTATATAGGCGTCATTTATAATTAACCCTCCGGAGGTATAAGACAGTGATAGACACAGATTTTTTGATTCTCTTTTTATTGTATTAGCTTTTAAAAATATTTATTTATGCATACAAGAATTGTGGTACAGGCCAGAGGTGGGGGGGTGAGAGGATTCACCAGAGACAAAGTGGGGAACAGAACAGGCAGATCTACTGAAAGACGCTACTGAGGGGAGCAGCAGGCAAGACAGGAGAGGTCTGCTGTGCCATGTGGGTCACCTCCCTGGCCGAGGATTGAAACTTGTGCTGCAGTGGCTACTGATTGCCTCATAGTCCTGAGACTTTAACCCCTTGAGCCACCAGGGAAGCCCATGTCATTATTATTCATGAGTATTATTGAAACAATTTATCACTGTAGGATAAAAGGTTTTCAGGCTTTTCTGACCTCCTGCCATTAGGATCCCCCTGCCTGATGGGGTACCTGCATTTGTTACATTGTTATAGTTGTGTTATTTACTTCTGTGGGAAGAAGTACTGCATGACTGCAGTATTGAGATATTTCCCCAGGAGAAGCAGAAGCAGGAGAGAGGCAGGAGAGAGAAGGGGAGAAAGGCCTGAGAAGCCCAGAGTGGAGACTTGCTGGGGGCTTGGAGGCCTGCCAGCCTCCTGACCTCACGGCACCCCAGCTTGCCGTGTACCTGGCGAATGCACTACATCTAAAGCAGGCCTGGAGGCTTCAGATTGCACTGTGGTAGTTACTCAAAAGGAGGCAGCACACCTAGACAGGGTGGAGCTGGAAAAAGGCTGTGCCCACAGCCAGAGGTGAGCTGAAAAGCCTCCGCAAACCAGGCCCCATCTGGCCACCAGAGCCCAGAAGGGGATCCAGTCAGCGCTGGGGCAAACCATGGATGCACAGAAGTCCTCCCCAGACTCGCCATTATAGATCAGGGACTTTTTGTGTGTCTACAACACACTGAGTCTGGTGGAGCTGGGGAAGAGCTGCCCTCACAACCAGAGAGCCAGAGGTAAGTTGAAAAGCCTCCACAAGCCAGTGAGCTGAAAAGTACCCACAAGCTGGCCCCGTCTGGCCACAAGTCTGAGCCCAGAGGGGGATCCAGCAATTTGGAACCCAGCGGGCGATCCTGCCACCACAGGGTGGACTGTGGAACCTTCAGACCCTCCTTGGAATTAAACAAATACAGAAGGAGGAGATTCTCTGTGACAGTGACCACTAACATATTCATAGTACTACTGCCCTACCAGAATTCAGACTTAACAGTTTTTGACTCGATTGGACCACTAGTTTCTGACATCCCAGAAAGAGCACACCAAAAAGATGCAGGCCAGTTCCAGCAACACAGTGTCCCATCGCATAGGACAAATTAGAAAACAAGCAGCAGGGAGAAGAAAAACTACATGCAACCAAGAAAGCCCTCAGGAAAAAGACACACCACAAAAAGAAAATCACCCACCAGATTGCAACAGCAGTGACTTGGAAGAACTTGTGAACCTGCAGAAAGAGAATTTAAAATTGCCATGATTAAAGCACTGACAGAAGTCATTGGGGAAAACAACAATCAGAAAAATGAAATTGAGTCCCTAGAGAGGGAAGTGAAGGAAATGCAGGAGATCAAAGGATTAATGGAAGAGCTAAAGAACTCTGGGAAAAGAAGTGATAACAGTATAGATGAAATGGAAGAACGAATAAGCACTCTCAAAGACACAGAAATAAAAAGAACCAAAACAGAAAAGGAAAGAGAAGTACGAATGGAAAAGACTGAAGAAAGACATCGGGAACTATTTGATCCATGAGGAAAGAAATATAAGAGTTATAGAAATCCCAGAAGGAGAGGAGAGAGATCTTGGAACAGAGAAATATTCAAGGAAATAATTGAAGAGAACTTCCCAAATGTGAAGAAGGAGCTGAAAATAAACATACAAGAAGCAAGAAAAACCCCAAACTTCCATGATGAAAGGAAAAATACAGCAAGACACATAAAAGTAAAGCTCCCAAGAATCCAAGACAAGGAAAAAATAATGAAGCTGACAAGAGGGAAGAAACAGATAACATTCAAAGGAAAACCAATCAGGCTGACATCAGACTTCTCCAAAGAAACACTACAGGCAAGGAGAGAGTGGAGGGACATAGTCAACAGACTCCAAGACAACAAATGCCAACCAATAATACTCTATCCTGCAAAGCTTCCTTCCTTTATGAAGAAAGAATAAGGACCTTCCCAGACAAACAGAAACTCTGGAATTTCATTATGACTAAACCCGCACTCCAAAAAATACTACAAGGAGTCCTAAAGCCAGAATGAAGAGAGGGATGAATAACAATGAAATAAGACCAGAAAAAAGAAAAGAAAAGAAAAAAAAGTTATTAAAAGAAAATCAGAGGAAAGACAAACAAAATGGCAAATACAGACATTAACATATCAATATTAACTCTAAATGTAAATGAAATAAAATCTTCAATAAAAAGACACAGAGTCATAGCCTGGATTAAGAAACAAAACCCAACCTTTTGCTGTCTCCAGGAAACACATTTAACTATAAAAGATTAAAATAGACTGAAAGTAAAAGGATGGAAAACAATTCTACAAGCAAATGGACCAAAAAAGAAGGCAGGAACAGCTATACTTATATCAGATAAAACAGATTTCAAATTCAAAAAAGTAAAAAGAGACCCCGAGGGTAAATACATTATGATCAAGGGGACAATACTTCAAGAAGAAATAATACTCATTAACATATACTCACCAAATGAAGGAGCACTAAAATATATCAGACAGCTATTATCATCTCTGAAAACAGACATACGAGAAAACACATGTAGTAGGAGACTTCAACACACCACTATCAACAATGGATAGATCAACGAGACAAAAAATAAGTAAGGACACTAAAGCTCTAAATAAGGATCTAGAGCTCATGGGCTTAACACACATCTATAGAACACTAAACCCAAAAAAATCTGAGTACAGATTTTTCTCAAGCACACACGGATCATTCTTCATGATTGATCACATACTGGGACACAAGACAAACATCAACAGATACACCAAGATTGAAAGCATACCAACCATCTTCTCTGACCATGAAGGCATCAAACTAGAAATAAACCATAAAAAGAAGGCAAGGAACTCTCCTACCTCATGTAGATTGAAAACCACACTACTGGAAGACCACTGGACTAATGAGGAGATCAAAGATGAAATTAAAAAATTCTTTGAATTGAGTGAAAAGGAGGACACCCATTTCCTAAATGTATGGGATGCAGCAAAAGCAGTAATAAGAGGAAAATATATAGCAATAGAGGCTCACATCAAGAAACAAGAAAGATCTTGAAGAAACAACCTAATCTTAAAGCTCAAAGAACCAGAAAAATAACAACAACAACAAAAAAACAAAACCAGTAGAAAAAAAGAAATAATAAAAATCAAAACAGAAATAAATGAAATCGAAACTAAAAACACAATCCAAAAGATCAATGAAACCAAAAGTTGGTTCTTTGAAAAAATAAATAAAATAGACAAACCCCTGGGCAGGCTCACAAAGGAAAAATGGGAGAAAGCACAAATAAATTGGATCACAAACGAAAGAGGAGAAATCACAACAGACCCGGCAGAAATCAAAAGAATAATCAGAAACTACTATGAACAGTTATATGCAAACAAGCTCAATAAGCTAGAAGAGATGGACAAATTCCTACAACTCTACAATCACCCAAATCTAGATAAAGAAGAAATAGAACACCTAAACAGATCAATTGCAAGCAGTGAAATTGAAATGGTAATCACAATCCTCCCCAAAACAAAAGCGCAGGACCAGATGGATTTACAAATGAGTTCTACCAAACATTCAGAAATGAATTAGTGCCTATCCTTCACAAACTCTTTCAAAAACTTGAGAAGGAAGGGATAATACCAAACATGTTCTCTGAAGCCAACATTACGCTAAAACCAAAACCGAACAAGGACAACACTAAAAAAAAAAACTACAGGCCAATCTCTCTAACGAACACTGATGCAAAAATCCTCAATAAAATTTTAGCTATCAGAATCCAACAATGTATCCATAAGATAATTCACCACGACCAAGTAGGATTTATTCCAGGGACAAAAGGATGGTTCAACAACCAAAATCAATCAATGTAATCCAGCACATCAACAAAAAGAAATATAAAAACCATATGATAATATCAATAGATGCTGAGAGAGCTTTTGACAAAGTACAACACCTATTTATGATAAGCACCCTTGAAATTCTCTGGATTCAAGGAACATACCTCAACATCATAAAGGCCATATATGATAAGCCCATAGCCAATATAATTTTCAATGGCGAAAAGCTGAAAGCATTTCCATTAAGATCTGGAACAAGACAAGGATGTCCATTTTCACCACTGCTTTTCAACATATTACTGGAAGTCCTAGCCGGAGCAATAAGACAAGAGAAAGACATACAAGGAATCCAAATAGGCAAGGAAGAAGTTAAACTATCACTATTTGCAGATGATATGATAATATACATAGAGAACCCCAAAAACTCCACAGAAAATCTAATTCAACTAATCAACCAGTTCAGTAAAGTGGCAGGATACAAAATCAACACACGAAAAATCAGTAGCCTTCCTATACACAAACAATAAATCTGAATAAGAAGAAATTAAAAAAAAATCCCTTTTGTTATTGAAACAAAAAATTCAAATACTTGGGAATAAACCTAACAAAAGAGCCTCTGCACCCCTATGTTTAGAGCAGCACTAGTTACAATAGGTAAGCTATGGAAACAATCCAAAATGCCCCAATATAGGTGACTGGATCAAGAAGATGTGGTACATATACACGATGGAATATTATGCAGCAACCAAAAAAGATAAACTCATGCAATTTGCAGCAACATGGATGGAGCTGGAAGCAGAAACATGCTCAGTAAAATAAGCCAGAAAGAAAAGGAAAAATACCGGATGTTCTCACTCATAGCAGGAATTTAGAAAACCTAAATAAGGGACCTGAAAAAAGATTAATTGCAATAAAGTAAAAATCAAAATCAACAAGCAACAAGCAACTATAGAACAGAGATACACTACAGTGGGAGATGGGGGGAGGAGAAGAGGGATTAGGGACAGAAAAAGAGGGTGGGAATAGCATGGGGAATATAACCAAAATGAAATGCATACTTTATGCAAAATGAAAAATGATGTAAGAATTATATAAAATAAAATAATTTATTAGAAAAAGGAGGGAGGGTGGATAAATTGTATTGTTATGGGAGACACATCATTAAATTATTTAAATGTTCATTGTTTCCAAGAGAAGAAAAGAACAATAGACATAGTGTTCTTGACAATGGTCACAACTCCTCCAGTAGTGTACTTAAAGATTTGTGCATTTCTCCAGATAGTTTTATCTCAAAAAATTATTTTTTTTAAAGATTTTATTTATTTATACAAGAATTGGGGTACAGGTCAGAGGCACGGGAGGGTGCGAGAATTCACCAGAGACAGAGCAGGGAGCAGAACAGGCAGACAGACCGAAGACACTGCTGAGGGGAGCAGTGGGCGAGGCAGGAGAGGTCTGCCAGGCCATATGGGTTTCTCCTTGGCCGACCAGGAATTGAATCCAAGCTGCAGAGGCTGCGGACAGCTTTACAGCTCGGTGCTCAAACCACTGCACCACCGGGGAGGCCCTCAAAAAAATATTCTTAACCCAAGTGTTGAGAAATGAAATGTAGGGAGTCCCTAGTGACTTAAGGGGTTAAGTCTCAGCACTGTGAAGCTTTTGGCAGCCATTGCAGTAAGAGTTCTAACACTGCCAGGGAGCTGACCCACATGGCACAGCAGACTTCTGTTTCAACCGCTGCTCCCCTCAGCAGTGTGCTTTGGTAGATCCACTTGTTCTGCTCCCTACTCTGTCTCTGCTGAATCCTCTCACCCACACCCCTCTGGCCTGCACCCCAGCTCTTGTATACATAAATAAATAAAACATCTTTAAAAAAATAAAAGAAAGATGGGTACTGACATCGGCAACTAACTTTGAAATGCATCAGAAAAATAAGATGGATGAATAGAGAGACGGATCCATGGATAAAGATGAATGATAAAGCAAATGTGGCAAATGCTAATGCTGGGATCTAGATGGTGTGCTCTGTACTATTATTTCATTTATTCTGTGTGCTTGAAAATGTTCATAAAATACCACAGACTGAGGTGAATGTGGCCATACTCTGGGGGCAGGTCAAGGCCTTCAGCCTGTACTTCAAAGCCTTTGAGTGCACCCATTTTTCTGAGTAGCCTGGAGGATGGAGACCATCCTCACGAAGCTGTTCCATGAGGCTGTCAGCCTGGCAGAAATCAGGGCACTGTCTCAGTTTTCAATGTCTCCTCAGTGTCAGCTCCCAAAATGCTCACGCATCTGCTTCTAGGAGTTCTGCAGCAGCTACTCTCTGGACTGGGCCTGGTCCGTCTCTACCGACATCTGCATCAATTGAGTTGTGTCCTATTAGAATTTTTTAATGTGCTTCTTGACCATAATCATGTGTTCTTTCAGAAAAGTTGTCTCCTATGTCAGGGCTTGGGCATCACAGAGCATGGGGGGCATGTTCTGAAGGGCCTGGTGACTTACTTCCTCCTTTGTGCTTTAGCTCTTGGGTGAGCACCTGCAGCCTCATCCCCTGGGAGGCTTGTCACTGTCTTCCCTGCAACCTTTCTAGGGCCCCTGATGGTTGCCCTGCTCTCTGCTCCTTCACATTGAAGTTTTTAGCAAGCATCTTGGAGAAGTCCTTGCCCACACTGCCAGGCCTCTTGCCCAGGCCTTGAGAGCTGGCTCTGAGTGGCAAGGAGGCCTGGAAGGTGGCCCCTTTGGAATCCACAGCACAGGCATTTGCCCCCCATGTCCCCTCTGGCAGGTTGTTGAGATACACCCCAAGATCCTGAGTTTGCATCATTATGACATTGTGAGAGCCAGTCACAGCTTAGCTGTGAATAGACCAGGATGCTTTTCCTTCTTGGATTGATTTTTTTATTGGCCCTGGAGTTATAATTATCTTGTTCCCTCACTAGCTTAGTTCCTGTTGTGCTCATTCCTACTCACCCCCAAGAACACCCCTGGGTCAGAATCTCCATGGACGTATCATACACACCAGCTATTCTGCCCGCTTCATCCTGGGCAGACTCCTGTCCCACAGCCTCAGTCCTGTCTCCTGGGCCTAGGTCCTGCTCACCTGGGCAGGGCTGAAGACCCATATCCCTCACCTCACCCTTGGCCTCTCTCCTGTCCCCACTTCCCTTGGCTGATTTTCCTGTGTCCTGGTCTCTGTGTCCATCATCTTTGTTCCCCCTTTGCCCACAAATGTCCTTTGCCCACTAGAGGAGGGAATATGGACAGTAACCCCTGAGACCACACACAGCTGAAGTGAATGTCTGTGCCCCAGCGCCTCCCTCACCTGGGCCTGACATGGAGTCTGGGCTGGATTCCCCTGAGGACTGGGCAGGCCTGGCTCCAGGGTCTTCTGGCCTCCAGGCCTGAGCTGTCTCTTGAGGGCCCCAAGGTCTGTCCTTCTCCAGCCTCTTTCTGAAAGTTCCTGGCAGCGGGTCATGGTGTGGGGCTGCTCATCCTCTGTAGGAGGAACCCGGGGAGGACACTCAGCGTGCACATTTTATCTGTGAGGGCTCAGGGATTTTCTTGATTTTTTTTTTTTTATCATTTCCACTCTCCATTCTTTTAGTCACTTGTATTATTAACTAGTTCAAATCTCCTGGTCGATAGACTCAGTTTCTTGTAGGTCTTCTCTCTGCTTGTCATTTCTTTTCCATTTATATTTAGTGGGAGTGAGACTTTAATATTCCATTTCATCTACTGATTTATTCATTTCTATGATTAAATCTCTAATTTTCAAGATCTCTTATTCTGAGCACATGAAATTTTTTTTAAGATTTATTTATTTATTTATACAAGAACCGGGGTACAGTCCAGATGTGCAGGTGGGTGAGCAGATTCACCAGAGACAGAGTGGGGAGCAGAACAGGCAGACTGATGAAATACACTGCAGAGGGGAGCAGCAGGCAAGACAGGAGAGGTCTGTTGCACCATGTAGTAACCTTCCTGGCCAGCTGGATTGAACTGGTGCTGCAGAGGCTGCAGACAGCTTCACAGCACTATGCTCAACTGCCTGTGCCAGCAGGGGAGGCCCAGCACTTGAAATTTTATAAAGTCTTTTTTTCTTTTTTCTTTTCTTTTCTTTCTTTTTTTTTTTTTTAGTACTAGAAAGTTAACCAAATTTCCCTATATACACATAGGGAATCTACATCTAAATGAGTGTCTGAAATCCCTGAGGGGAAATAGGGTGTGTCTCCAGAGCTAAAGAATGAGATGGGGCCTGGAGCCTCCAGCAAGGAGGAGAGGGGGTCACATGGCAAGGACAGGGCAGCTCATATGAGAAAGACCAGATGTTCTATAATTATGTTTGCCCTGACATATAGGTAGGTTTTTTGGGTACAAAGCTCATTTCTGGTAATAACCCTAATTTTGGGTAAGACTGTTATAGAGCAACCCCGATATTAAACGGGTTCCTGGCTGTGGGTCCTCACCCGCGCGCTTTAAAGGGACTTATGAATACTCTACTACAGACACACGCAAAAGGGTTAATAAAAGGTTTATTTACAAGAGAAAAAGAAATAAGGAAAATGTACAACTCAGGGAGAAAATAGGAAAATAAAGTCTTTAATGCGTCCTACCCGATCCGCCGACCTGGAAACCCAAAGTCACTCTCAGAGCTGACCGGACGCTCCGAGCTGGCTGAGAGCCCCAAAATGGAGAGCCCCCAAAGCCCACGTGTCTGCCTTTTGTATCCACCTGGCTGCTTAACCCCACCCTCAGGTCCCAGCCACCTTCCCTTTGGTGGTGATGGGATTTGGAGTTCCCAGTGTCTTTGGCTTTGACCTGGGGTGGGGGTGGAGTCCACAAAGCCTGTATGGAATTTGCTTTGGGACATCCTTTTCCCCCTAACAAGACCAGCAGTTTTCATGCCAGGTAGTTCTAGAAGTGGTAAACGTTTCTTAAGATGAACCCCTGATGAACCCTTAGATGGAAATAATTCACATACCAAAGTGGCCTGTCTTGGGGACACCTTTCTGAACACATGGGCGAGGCCTGTCCTTCAGAGCATAATAAACGAGGGGAAAAGCAAATGAGGGTGAGGATGGGGCCAGGACCAGGAGCAGATGAGGCTACAGTCCTCCTCAATATGGTTAGGTCCTGGGGCAGACTTGGAGGGGGGCTGAAGGAAGAGGGAACAGGCTGGTCTATGGGGCCAGAGCACGTGTGTCTGGAGTGCGAGTGACAGCTATGGGAAGAAATAAAATCTGTTTTCCTCATGCTTAATTTGTTTTTTAATATTTTTTTTCATCTCTGGATACAATTGATAATAGTGTTAGGGGTTCTGCTTCTCTCTTTTCCAATAAACCCGCTCCTTCTGTTAGGGGGAAAAGGCTGTCCCAAAGCAAATTCCATACAGGCTTTGTGGACTCCACCCCCACCCCAGGTCAAAGCCAAAGACACTGGGAACTCCAAATCCCGTCACCACCAAAGGGAAGGTGGCTGGGACCTGAGGGTGGGGTTAAGCAGCCAGGTGGATACAAAAGGCAGACACGTGGGCTTTGGGGAGCCCCCATTTTGGCTCTCCACCAGCTCACAGCTGTCCGGCCAGCTCTGAGAGTGCCTTTGGGTTTCCAGGTCGGCGGATCGGGTAGGACGCATTAAAGACTTTATTTCCCTATTTTCTCCCTGAGTTGTACATTTTCCTTATTTCTTTTTCTCTTGTAAATAAACTTTTTATTAACCCTTTTGCGTGTGTCTGTAGTATTCATAAGTCCTTTTAAAGTGTGCGGGTGAGGACCCACAGCCAGGAACCCGTTTAATATCGGGGTTGCTCTATAACACTTCCTCCCAGCACGGGGCTCAGGTCAGGTTTACACGTGTCTTTGTCACCTTTACTCAGTGTCCATCTCTTAAGACAGTGCAAGCTCCACATCTCCAGGGGCCTCTCTCTGCTCCCCATTGTATCTGCAGGGGAGGCAGCTTGAGGAGGCAGGAGCCAGCCAGGGAGAGGGATGCTGGGAAGTGAAGAGGAGGCAAAGGCAGAGAACACTTGGGAGATGCTTCCTGGTTCACTGAGAAAAGCATTTCTCAAAGTGTGGTCTGTGGAGCCCTTGAAGTCACCCAGAACCTTTCATGGGATACATAAAGGAAAAATATTTTCAAAACATCACTTAGACACTATTTCTTTTTTCACTATTTTGACATTTGCTGAGCTAAAATTTAGTAAGAGTGGAGCTTATAGTACCACTGCAGAAGTAGTGATTCTTCACCAGCACTTACTACCTGCAGGAACAAACATTAAAGCCAGTTTCACTTGCAAATGTCCTGGAAAAAGCATTAAAAGTTATCTTCATTATTGCATCATCCTCAACTCCACATTTTAAAATATCTGGTGTGCTGACACATCTGCAGCATCCCCAAGCACTGAGTCCCGAGGGAAATATTTGTTATGAGATGAATTAGACTCTTTTTATTTGTGGGCAACACCTATCTTACCTGAAACGATGAATGACACAAACTCAGGTCATTTAAATTTGGTTAATTAGCAGACACTTTCCTCAAAATGAATGTCTGTTTCTTGAAGAAAATCAACAAGTGGCAAATGACAGTAATTTTGCCTGATAAAATATAAGCTCTCAGATAAAACTAGAATTATGAAAAATTGAGTGCATCACTACTTGACAATTTACAGTACATTTTTCTAAAACTTTTTTTGATCATTTGATTCCAGTGTAACACTAAAAATCTATGTAACTTAGTGAAACAATGTATCACCTTAAAAAATCATATATTAACACAAGTTCCAATATGCAAGAGAGGCCTATGGAAATGTAACAAAATAGGAGCTATTCCCTGATATTATTTCAGGTTTCATGTAGCAAATAACCTTGGAGAAACTACCACCTGTACAGTTTTAATTTAGTATCAATATTCAAAGTTATCTGAAAATACTACTACTTACCTGTTCCCCAGTCTGTCTCTGGTGAATCCTCTCACCCTCCCACGCATCTGGCTTGTGCCCTGGTTCTTGTATAAATAAATAAATAACTCTTAAAAAAAAAAAAGAAAAGAAAGTAACTGCTGAGGTCACATAGTCAACTTTCCATCAGCTCCCTGAGCCACTTCTCTTCCTGTGCCCACATGTGGCTTTTAAGACCCAGCTCCCATGTCCCCTTCCTGCTGAGGAAGGAACCTTCCCTGCTCTGCCCTTGGCCCCCTCTGAGGCAACTACTGCAGCCCTTCTCTCCTCACACACCCCAGGCAGCAGGTCCTCCAGGGCGGGGTCACGTGGTTCTATGTGACCATAGCACCCTGTGGAGTATATTCCTAGGCAACAGCATGCATTGGGGTAGGGGACCCAAAATGCCCACTGCAGGTCTGTGTCACAGAGTCACCTGGGGTATGTTTAGAGAGAAGTTCCCAGGCTCATCTCGGGAGGCAGAGAGTGGGCTCCGGCTGCCCAGGGCTGGTGAGGGGAAGGTGGGGGTGGTGCCCATGGGCCCAGGCCCAGGAAACAAGGTTGTTGTGGTGATGGAGATGTTCTTGAGATAGAATATGGGATGGTTGCCCTGCTCTGTGCTTACCAAAAGGACATGAGAGGTGAGCCTTCAACAAGTGACTTGATGGTCATAAATTATATCTCAATTAAGTGGCTTTAGAACCATATTAAAAAATGGGTGTGGGCCTCCCCGGTGGCGCAGCGGTTGAACACTGGGTTGCAAAGCTGCCCGCAACCTTTGGAGCGCCGGTTCAATCCCCGGCTGCTGGGTGAGAATCCAACATGGCGCGCAGACCTCTCCTGTTGCCCACTGCTCCCCTCAGCAGTATATTTCATCACTCTGCCTGTTCTGCTCCCCGCTCTGGCTCTGGTGAATTCTCTCACCCTCTTGAGCTTCTGACTGTACCCAGTGCTTATATAAATAAATAAATCTTTAAAAAAAAATGGGTGTACAAGTTGCCCTGTGTCTGTCTTCCACTGTATTCACATCCAGGGCTCGTGGGGCAGAAAACTGCCTCAGCCCATGAGGCACTGAGCACAGACGGCTTCACTGCACAGATGCTCTCAAGGAGCCTCCTCTGTGTGGTCCTGAGTCACGTGATGAGATGCTGACGTCACGCTGCTTATGTGATGGAAGAGACTTTTTGGGGCCTTGGTTGAGAGGCAATTTAATTTTCATGTGGACGGAATGGAAATAGTGTCCAGAAGGTCTGCTGTGTGGTTTTCGATTTTCCACCAATTCTGTGATACACAGGAGGGGAGACAGTCTCCCCCCCTCCCCCGCTGTGAGTGTGTCTGACTTGCTGGCGCTTCCTCGTGAGGAGAATGAAGCAGAAGGGATGCGCCAAGTCAGAGTCAGGCTCACAGGAGCTGAGACTTCCTGCCCGCCCCCCCCCCCCCCCCCCGCCACCGTCACTCTCTTGAGGTGACTCCTTGCACACGGTGGACCCTCAGCTAAGGGGATGCAAACAGGACAAGGACCTGAGGGTTTTCTCCAGGAGTCACAAGCATGAGCTCTGAGGCAGGTCCTTCCATGCTGATCATGACCGTTCAGATCCGCAAACATCTTGTCCCCATCGCAGCCTCGTGGGACTCATAGCAGGAGCCTCTGAGTGAGGCCCCTCCTGCTGCCTCCCCGACAGAGACTGTGACAGATGCCAGATCTTTGTGGTTTAGCTGCTAAGTTTGAAGTGATTTGGTACAAACTGTTACTGGAATGCAACTGTCTCAGGGATGGGAGCTGCAGGACAGTGGTGTTTTCCACCTGCTGCTCCACCACAGGCAGTTGTGGCAGTTGCTCCTCAGAACCCAGTCACTACCATTTGTAATGGGCCATCGGGTGTGAGCTGTCACCTGATTGGTGCTAACCGGTCCCATCAGACTTGTGGGTGAAAGGATAAAAGCCAGGGTTGGAGGGAGCTGAGGAGCCCCCCCTCTCAAGAAAGGAGACAAGGACCCCAGCCCTGACAGAGAGGACAAGGGAGCCCCTGAAGGAGAGATGGTGCCAGAAGCCCCTGAAGAAAAGAAGATGGTTCCAGCCTCTGAAGAATGAGGAAAAGAAGCTTCCAGCAGCTGCCCTCCGAGGAGGGAGAGAAGCCAAAGGACTCTGTCACAGTTGGGCCTCAGTCCGGTCCCTGACATCACCTGAGAGGAGCCCAAAGGCCCTGGGCCTGGCGTCTCAAAGAGCTGTGTGTTGCTGGTGTAACCCAACCACTCACAAAGAGCCTTTAACCCTGGGCGTCTCTGACAATGCCTCTGCAGACCAGTCATGGCCATCACTACTGGCCGGTGCTGTCCAGCACCCCTGCTGACTGGTGGCGACCATCACTGATGCTCCCTGGTGAGGCAGCTGCCACTCATGGATACAGTGAGATCTTTGATTCCCCTGTTTGTAAATAAACCCCATGGTTGTTGTTCCTGGAGCCTGAGGTCTCTTGCAAATGTGCGAGTGGCTGAGACCCACAGACAGTGGCCTGTCCTCTTACTGGGCACTGTCCTTTGTTGGTCTGTAGCTCTTGGTTTTGGTTTTTGGCCTTTTGGCCTTTGGGGGCCTTATGGCGGCTCCCTGTTCTCAGAGCCTGGGCAGGGCGTGGCCATTCCTTCCATCCGGCCTCCTGCCCTGTGGCCTCTTCGTGGTCCTCTCTGCCCCTGCTTCAAAACCACTAGAAAATTCAGGCAATAAAGTGATAAGTGGCTGTTTACTCACAAGAAACAGTGGAGGCCAGAGCAGCTGGAGTGACACAGTCAAGGTCCTGATAGAAATAAGGTGTCAACAAGAATTCTACATCCCCTGGAAGTGTGCTTCAAAATAAAGATGATTTAAAATTTTTTTTTTACTGTTTTTAGATTCCATTTAATTTTTCTGTTCATTTCTTTTTCTTCACACTATCCCCAGAGCGATGTCTGCGGGGTCAGTCACAGAGGGGCTGTCCGCAGCCTGGAGCTGTGAGCAGGGCTGACTCTGACCTGCCTGCAGGGAGTGGGGCCCTGGAGCCTCAGAATCAGCCCCAGGGCTGGTACTCCAGGGTGGCTCAGGCCTTGCTCTGCCCTCATCTTGTCTCCCTGAATCTCCCTGACACCCCAGCACTGAGAAACTGAGGGGGATGTTCTGTAACAGGAGGGGGACTCCCCTTAACCATCTGTCTCCCCCGTCTCTCTGCCATCTGTTGCATCAAGACAAAACATGTAAGACCTTTAATGGAAAGGAACTTTAATACAATTCGTGTGCAACAAAGAAAAGGGAAAGAATAAAGTTTCCAAACCAAGCACCCAAAGTCACCATCCCCTGGTGGGTAAATGTTCAGCCAAACAGGGTTGGCTCAGAGCAGGGCCCAGGGCCTGTCACAGTCTAAAGCACCTTCCCGTGGGGACCCATAGAAAAGGGTCAGAAAAAGGCTAGTCTGGAAGGAAAAGAGAAAAACCAAGATAAAAGCTGCCATTGTCACCTCCCCGCGGTCTCTCACTCACCTCTGTGTCACCCAGTCCAGGACCAAGAAGCACGTGCAGCTTCTTCACGTGTCTCTCTGCTCCATGTGCCTCCCCCAGGTCTCCTCTTGGCTCTTTCCTTTCTTCACTCTCTTTCCCAGCTGCTTCTCCTCCCTGCTCAGCTCCACCCTCCAAGGGTGGGGCAGGGAACCCAGACCTTCCCCTGGGGACCCCCCTGTTACAGTCCTCTCCATCACCAGCATGTGCGTGTATGTGGGTAACACCAGCCCTGCAAGGACGGGCAAGGCCTCAGATGTGCACAGTTCCTTGGGCAGTCACAGGCCAGCACTGCTGCATCCCCCCAGGGGAGACAGATGCTCCCAGCCCCCCAGTGAGAGCCCGTGTCACCCACACAGACCTTGCCCCCACAGTGTCCCCCGTGCTGCCCCTTCCCTGCCCGGTCCTCTCTGGCTCCCCACTGCACCCCTTCCCACCTCTGTCCCCCAAGTCCCCATTTCCACCCTCTGCTCTCTTTTCCAGGAGTCTCCCCATCTTCCTAGCCAGTGTCCTGGGACCTCTCCTAGGGCAGAGATCACTGGGTGTATGATCAGTTTTTCAGTTTTCAAAGAAACTGTCAGAGATCTTCCACAGGGAGCGACCATTTTGCATTCCTGCCGCCAGTGATGAGGCTCCTGTTGTCCACATCCTGGGCAGCACCTGGTATGGTGCAGGGTTTGCCTTTTCAGCCTCTCCTAGGTATGATGGCGTCACTGTTGTTCTTAACTGTCTTTCCCTAGTGCCCCGTGATGCTGAGCATCTGCTCATGTTCTTCCTTGTCGTCTGTATCCTTCTGGTGAAATGTTGTTAAGGCCTTTTGTCCACATCTTTACTGAGGTACCATTGATTAGTCCACTGTTTTTTCCTTTTTAAAATCGAGTCATTTCTTTCTGATATTGAGTGTTAAGGGCTATTTTGTAAATGCTAGATAGAGTCCTTTATCGGATTCATGATTTGCAAAGGTTTCTCTCACTTTGTGTCCTGAACTTGACAGGATAACAAACAGTATTGTCTGGACAGAAGCATGGATATAGTCTTTTGAGAAGAAAAATGATAAATTTTGAACTAGTTTTGAGCAGAAACTGGCTGCTTGGGGTGCTGGGGTGAGGGAGATGACTTTTCTATATGTATCCTTGATTGTTATTTAAATGTTCTTGCATACACTTGAAATAATGTTTTCACAAGTAAATTACGCTAAATTCCTCAACTTATAAAACACTTCACAGATCACGTCCAAACCACGTGTTAACACCAGAGTGGCACGTGTGTTACAAGTGAGGGACCAGCACGTCATCCATCCCCTCTCAGAGTCCATGGTTTCCCTTTGGGTTCACTCTGGTGTTGTCTGTTCTCGGGCTGTTGGACAAACGTATAATGACCTGTGTCCATCACGAGAATATCATGCAGAGTATTCTCACTGCCCATAATGTCTTCTGTGCTCCAAGGAAACAAAAGCAAAAAAAATAAAAATCACCAATGGAATCACATCAGGCTAACAAACTTCTACATAGTGAAGGAAAGTATCAATAAAATCAAAAGAGTATCGAGTGGGAGACAATATTTGTGCATCCTATATCCAACAAATGATTAATATCTGAGATCTACAAATGATTCCAAAACAAGAAAACAAACAATCCGATCAAAACAAGAGCTAAATAGGCAGCATCCCCCAGGGGAGACAGACGCTCCCAGCCCCCCAGTGAGAGCCCGTGTCACCCACACAGATCTTCCTCCCACAGTGTACCCCATATTGCCCCTTCTCTGCCTGGTCCTCTCTGGCTCCCCACTGCACCCCTTCCCACCTCTGTCCCCTAAAGTCCCCATTTCCATCCCCCCATTTCCACACAGATGGCCAATACGTACATGGATAAATGTTTGTCATCATGTGCTGTCAGGAAAATGCCAGTTAAAACAACAATAAGATACCCCCTCACACCCGTGACAATGACCATAGTAGGGTGGGGAGGAAAAGGAACTCTGGTACACTGTGGGTGGGGAAGGAGACTGCTCCTGTTAGTGGGCTGCATGAGGGATTCCCTGGACCCTGAAACCTGATCAATCTAAGGGGGTACTGTCATCGGTTGCATAGACAAAGCATACTATAGTGTGAAAGATCTTTAATAGAAAAAATGATAATATAATACTGTGCAATAGAGAATTAGTGTAAATTAGTGTGAGAATTAGTGTGAGAAAGAGAAGAGAAAGAATATAGTTAAAATAACATCCAAATGAAACACCCAAAGTTCCCATCCCCTCCTGGGTAATGCTCAACCAAACAGGGTTGGCCCAAAGCAGGACTGCTGAGGCCAGAAATCCTGCCTAAGGCACCTCTAGTGGGGACTCCCAGGAAAGGGGCAGGAGGGGCCTGGCAAGTCTGGAAGGACAAGAGCAAAATCAAAATCCACAAGATAAATGCTGCCATTGTCAGCCTCCTCTGGATCTCTCACCCACGTCTTTGTCTCCTCCACATGCTCCACATGTCTCTTTCCATGTTCCCCGGGTCCCTGCACTAGTCCAAAGCTCAGAAGCAAGAGTGGTTTCTTCTTCACACGTCTCTCTGCTCCATGCGCCTCCTTCAGTCTCCTTTCCCCATCTTGTTGCTTCTGCCTCCTCTTTAGCCTCCCATCCCTGATGGGCTCCACCCTTCCTGAGGTGGGGTAGGAGAACTGGAACCTTCCTTTCCTATGGATACCACACTGTTACAGTCCTGCCCCTGTGGAGAACAGAATGAAGGTTCCTCAAAATATTCAAAATACACCTTCCACATGGTCAAGCATTCCATCCCTTGATATTTATCCAAAGGAGGTTAAAAACACTAATTTCAAAGGATATGTGCCTGCCATGTTCACTGCAGCACTGTGCACAATGACCAACTGTGGAAACAACCTAAGTGCCCAATGACAGATGTGTGGACAAAGAAGGGGTGGTAGGTAGACACAATGGAATACTATTCAGCTGTGAAAAAGAGAAAGCCTTGAATTTGCAAAACATGGTTAAGTGTGGAGGGGATTATGTTAAGTGAAATATGTTTGAAGGAGAAAGTAAAATACTAGATAATTTCATTCATATGTGGAATATAAAGAAACAAAGCAGGGACAGATGACACTAAACCAAAACAAACTCAAGAACTATGACTGGAGAATTGAATCTATGGGTGAGGGAGGGTGAGAGCAGGAAACAAAGAGGGAAGAGAGCCTCATGGACTATGGTGGAGGACTGTGGGTGCCCTTTGGTGGATGTAATGTAACAAACATCTTAGGAGGAGTGACCCTGTGAACACATACAGTGTGTAAACTGATGTTGCCTCAATAGAAATAATACAGT